AACCGATGAAAATTTTTAGTCAAAATTAGGATGTATAATTTTTCAAAGTAGATCATGATTCTCGCAATGTACTAGTTCGCCCTATGCCACCTCACACGGAACTACACTTCAGTTAGGTTTCAACTCTAATACTATTTATAATAGTCTTCATTCTACTCAACATAATATTATAGGCATTTGGCAATTTCGAATCACACTTCCATCTTGATACTATTTTAGCGTAAGTCACTTAACTGTGGAGTTCTGATGAGCTCACAACTATCACAGTTTTAAAACACGTTAGGTCGTAAAATAGGTGGAATCATGACACCCATAACCTATCAGCACACTCTTTTTTACAGTATTCCATGGTGCATTATTTTAACACAATTATTTTGAAATTTTGACCCAAGGCTCCCGCTCAGCCTCTCCTTTGGAGAGAAAAACTTATACCATAGAGACCAATTAAAATTTTGAGTCAAAATTAGAATGTATAAATTTTCACCATTATAAATGATAAAATTTGAAGTAAAATTACATGGTTTTAATAGAACAATCAAAATTCGTCTTGTTCTCTTTTTATTTTGGAATGTTGCAGTTGCACATAGCGTGTGCTTTTTGAATACTCTAAAAACTTTTAGGATAAGGCTTGTTGTCAATGGACTAGATTTGGTCTGTGGATTTTGTAGTAACTGTCATGCAAATAGCAAGTGTGAATTTGCTTTCAATTAGTTACAAAAGTCACCTACTTGAAAAGAAAACCATTTATTGCTAAATTAGTTGAAGAATTAATGTAACACAATAATTGACATCTAATAATTTATTCACAAATTAATGGTACAAAATGCATGTATGTCTTATTCTGAAGAAAATGTTCCCCTAAATTTATAGTCAACCCTCAGTGGATACAGTTACAAATCTACAATCACGAAATACATAATTAAATATATATTAGTTTTATGTCATTATTAATAGTTTTTTATTTATGTTTATCTTCGTAATTAGTCGAGACCATATAATAATTTTTTAATATTTGAGTCTTTTGACTTAGGTTGAGTCTGGAATTTTATTTTTAATTATTTGATTATAATTTGATGAAAACCCAATTTGGAATGTGATCAGATGAGCAACTTTGAAACTAAAACTCTGCACCTTAATCTATATGTTCGTATTTAATAATAGTTTGAATTTTGTTATACAACAGTGAACTAAATACTTGATTTTGCTTATAGTTTAAATTTGAATTCAAATTTAATCTTGTTAAGCTCTGACAAATTTATATTTTAATTAGACTTATAGTTTGATCAGCATAAATGTAATTTTGAATTGACTAGAAATGTACACGGTTCGAATTGGACCGTTTTAGAAATATTTTGGACTCAAATCGTTCCTAACAGTTACATAAAAAATAAAACCAAATCCAATCGTGAAAGTAATGGAACCGAACCAAACTGTGGTTTGGTTCGGCTTGATTTCACGGTTCTTTATTTTTTTATAATTCAATGTAATATATATATATATATATATATATATATATATATAATTAAAAATATATGTCATATATAATTTCTATTATAATATAATTTTTATTATATATGATATATATAATTGAGTGGTTAAAAGACTTATATTATTAATTTATTATTTGTATAATACTGTACAAAATATTTAAAGTTTTTTTTTGAACATAAATAACGTAAATGTTGTTTATATTTGATTCTCATGACTTGAATGAAAGATTAAAAATGGAATGCAAATGAAATGTATTTATCCACCTTTTAAAATTCTATCGTATGTTGTTTTGTAATCACAACTTTTATGTCGGTGTGTGTATAGAGAATTATAGATATGTTTTTATATAAATTGATATAAACACAACTTTTTATGTCTCTTAATTTTGTGAATTATTTCAGTATCACACGCTTAATCATGTAACCCACTTGTTCTCTGATTTTATTCACTTTTATATTTGGCAAATAGTATCACAACACCCCCAAATCAAGGAAGGAAAAAACAAAACGACGTAGTAAATAAGACGCAGCTGGCGACCAAACGACGTATGTTTCTCGGATCTTCCAAAGTTGTCACTTTTGCGTGGGTCCATTGAAAATCAGGTTCGTCAGTGTCCACCGTACGATCAGATCACTATCTGGCGATGCATAAGAGAATAAGATCACATGTTTCTCGCCGCGTGTCACGATGAAGATCGTTGATCATTAAAGTTGTCAAAATTAATGTAGACATACAGCTGTTAAGCAAGTAGCCAACTGAATTCCACCAATTCCACCTTAAAGTAGTGTGCAGACAATTAATGAATTTTTTTTTTCTTTTTCTAATTTTAACTAAACCTAATTCACAAATTTCAAGAAATGTGATATTTAATAAATAAATATTTTTTAACATATTTTTAAAATTTTCAGTATTAAGCGATGTTTTTGTTATTTAAAATTTTATTTCATTTTAAATAGTCCAGAACCATTAAGAATAGTGAACCTCGAAAGTGTCATAATGTATATTATAAATAAATCTTCTCAATAATTTTTATTAAATTAGACTATTAAGTAATTAATGCTTGAGAACGATATAATAATTTAACGAATGAGTTCACCCAAATTAAAATAAAATCAAGGAGATATTTTATTTTTAAGGCCATACGTTATATATATTTAACAGTAACAAATAATCTTGTCAATATTGTAACTATCACTAGTATTACTACTAAAATAGTAATAATCCAATCTTAGTCGAATACAATCAACACATATGTGATAAAATATAAAAAAATAAAAAGCGTATGGAAAAGGAAAAGAAATGATATTGATTTTGAAATGAAACCCCATTTATATCTTTAGAATAAATTAAAATATAACAAAAAAAAGTAAATATTATTTTACCATTTTATCCTTATTAATTAGAATTGTAATTTTATATTTTACTAGAAGGAAGGCTAAATTGGGTAAGTCAGAAACCTACAACTAAATTAATTTACAATTTCTATGATGGGATCTGAGTATACTATGCTCTGGTATTTTAAATCCTATTAAATTCAATTCCATTTTAATTCGTTTTATTTCAAATAGTGGTAATTCCATCCATTTTGAATATAAAAATTGGTGAACTACATTAAATTTTCCTTTTCTACCTGTGTTTTTCATTAAATTCCCCTTTTCTATTTTTTTGCCAAAAAACCCCCCTCAACTATTCAAGGGGGTGATTTAACTAACGGAAATTAGTTGAAGGAGAATTGAAATATAAATTGACTTAAATATTCATTAAAGCCTATTTAAAAATTTACTTTGCTTTTTGTTTTTTTATTTATTAAATAACATAAACGACATCATTCACATAAATTAAAGCTTATATTGGTTTTTTTTTTTTTTTTACTAGATTGACAAGTTCACATTCGTCACGTGGAAGGAATTTTTTATTTTTTTATAGGAAAAAATGATATTGAAATATAAAAAAAATAATAAAAAAAGAAGAAGAATAAGAAGAAAACATGCAGGCATAAATATTAATATAAAAAGGGAAAAATCAAATAAATGAATGTGCAATATAATTCTCAAATATATATATATATATAGCAGATAAATTTCAAGAAAAACCTATATTTATAGGGTATATTAAAATAGATATAAGGACATTTTTGTCTAAAAAATATATGATAAACTAAATGTCCAAATAGCTCCCTTTTAGTTAACTTCCGTGAGTTAAATTATCCCCCTCGAATAGTTGAGGGGGGTTTATTGACAAAAAAATAGAAAATAGGGGTTTAGTGAAAAACACGGATAGAAAATGAGGGTTTAATGTAGTTCACCCTATAAAAAAAACCATAATTTCAAAGAGTGCCTGAGGTTTAATCACAAGCCCTTTTTTCGCAAGCGATAAAACATATTTATTGATTAGATTAGAAATTACATCCAAACGAGTTTTATGCAAAACAAACTCTGAGAAATTATTATCCCATAAACATATACTTTTCTCTTGTAAAGCAAAAGCAGTATGGGCAACCTCATTCCCTGCTCTAGGCATATACACCAAATAAAAATCAGGGTGATGATGAAGCTTTTTACGGATATCGTCTACTGGAGGGCTAAGTAAAAAATATGAAGACCCATCTAACATTGTAGCCTTTAAGATGACCTCTGCATCAATCTCAAACATAATACGATTGTAACCTCGACGAATAACCTGGTCCATAACCTTTCGAAGCACCAAACCTTCAACCACTAACGGATTTAAAACTCTTTAAAAGAAAAAAGATGCCAATCACAACACCTTTCCCCTACGAACCATTCCATTCCACCCCTGGCCTCACATAATACTTAATGATGCATCAGTATTAACTTTAATTACATGCCTTACCTTGAGATCACCCATATTATATTCTATAATTGAAAAAATTATTATATGGTCGGGGGAATCACACGTGCTTATATAAAAAAAAAATTAGACACAATTACATACATGGTCGTATTTGATCGTCCAAAACTATATAGTACGGGACAATAAAAGAATTTGCCTTATAAAAATTCATTTTTATCACCCAAATTATCCGTTAGAGACCATCCAAATGATAGGAAATTATTAATTCCGAAATTATTAATTTTGTGTCAATTAAAAAACGAGACATAAATAAATGTATCAATTTTATATCATTATTAAACAATTTTTATTTATACATCACTACGTAATTGATTGGTATCATTAAGTTACTTCGAATCATGTAATAATTTATTTCTTAAATTAAGCCTAAAAGGGGGCGATCTTCATCACCCAAATTAACTAATTAAGGGTTTAATCATATGCCTTACCTTGAGCGAGTGAGGTTGACCTTCATCACCCAAATTACACCCCACCGGAACAGGTGGGGCCTACCTAAAAGTGTTCTATGATTACATTGATCACATGATTTTCTTCAAATCCAACGGTGACTAATCATCTGTGCTTTCTACTAATCAATCCCATCAGTGAGTTTAGCTTACTCTACTCTGCTTAAATCTGAGTGCTTCTTTGTAAGATTCGAAACGTGAGCTGAGTACTACTATTTTCAGTGTGTGTGAAATCTTTAAAAAGCCCGGCAAAAGCACCATAGTTTCGCGGCCAATTTTACAGAGATCCACTCCTGACTCCCCCCTTCTCTCTCTCTACACCTCTTTCTCTCTCTAGAACCCCTCTTTCCTTCTATAACCAGATTCATTACACAGACCCGTGTCTGCAGCCACATTAGTTATTTACTTAACATTGTTTTAATTTGTCTCCATGTTTAGCTCCTAGGTATAAGACAATATAAATTTTCTCATAGATATATACCACACAAACACGCACACACACACACACACACACATATATGATATGTATGTTTTGTAATGCAATAGCTTAGCAGAGGAGAAAGAGAGAGAGAGAGATGAGGAAGGTTATGTGTTTTTGGGGTCTAATTGTTACTGGGTTTGTGTTAATTGGCAAATGGGTTAATGGGTTTGATGGGTTTGAGCATGAGTATTTGAATAAAACAGAGCAGCCATTTTTGGAGTCCTTTTACGGAGTCTCTGCTGTGAACTACAACCCTCTCATGGTGGGTCTTACCCTTATTCAAGGAGCTGCTGCTAAAGGCGCTGGTACTCTCTCTCTCTCTCTCTTTCTCTCTCTTCTCTTCATACATTGTCGCTTGATCTACAAGTGCGATGTATTGATTCTATCTGTTTTATTATTTTGTCTAAAAATAATTAATTTAATTATCTGATTCACTTAATTTTGTTCTACTGCATGCTATTTCTTCCTTTCCTTTTTCATGATTCTATGAATCATTGTTGTTTGTTATTGATAGTGATAAGTAGATCTGACCAATTTTATATTTTTCTTTTTCCTGAATCAATTTTTATTTCTTTTTTTATTTTCACTTCTTTCTTTTTCTTCATTTCAATAAATTTTTTAAATTGCTCTCTCTCTCATATGAGTAAAGATACTCTAATTGTCATTTCCTTAATTGGGTTTTTTTGTCTGTCAAATTTTGATTTATAAAAATTTACATGGAAACTATTTCTTATTTGAAGGTTTTGTGACAGAGAAATCTGCCCAATTTTTTTTTCCACTAATGTATCTTCTGGTTTGCTTCACTTTACAGTGTGTTTGGATGGGACATTACCGGGTTACCATTTCCATCGTGGATACGGGTCAGGGGCAAATAGTTGGCTCATTCAATTGGAGGTTTGTGTGACAGCTTTATGATTAATCACATATTAAATTCAATAAATGGTTGGTGTCATATATTTTTCATCTACAGGTTCAATCATTTGCATGCTTGACTCTATTTTCCTATTTGGTTTATTTATTGTCAGAGAATATCACATTTTGTTAAAATAAGCACAAATTTGAGCCTGATAAAATTGGAAACTTATCAGGCTCTTTTTGGTAATTTCATCATTTAAGGTTTTGGCTCAGTTTCTAAGAATAGTTTTTTATTTTCAGAGAATTGAAAATTAGAAAACTGTACAAAATCTGGTTTGGTTGACCGTTTTGAACTAAAAAAAATAAGACTTGCTTTGAGAGAGCTGTCTTTTATAGTTATTCTGTTTTCTGAGTTCTTGAGAACTGTTTTTATAAAACTAAACCAAACATGCCCTACTATTTTGAAGTTATGCAGGTTTTTTAGAACTTCCAGTACCTCATGAAAGTAATTAATCCAGATATGCTAGTAATTAATTATGCATGTTCCATTACAAATGAATACTATTTCTTGTGGAAATTCAAGCTCATAATTCTAAAAGGTGTTTTTTGTTCTTTTTTATTACAAAAAGAAATAGTCTCTAGTGGTTTCAACTTTACAGAAGGATAAATGATAACGATAGATTTAAGCAGCATGTTGCAAGGAGGGTTTTGTACTCAATTGATAAAACTTTATATACCTAACAAAATTAAGAAAAGGTCTTATCTTTTATTTTAATTATTATTATTATTATTTTGTTTTTTTTTTTTGGTGGTGCCAATTAATGAGTAAAGAGTTCATGCCACAAAAGTTTCCATTTATTGTAATTCTGTCCATGATTGAGAACCTGAGTGAAGCATCTTTTGGCAGGGTGGAGGATGGTGTAATACCATTAGATCTTGTGTTTACCGTAAAACAACTCGTCGTGGGTCATCAAATCATATGGAGAAGTGGATTCCATTTACAGGGATACTCAGCAATAAGGCTGAAGAAAATCCCGGTTTCCTCCTAAACTACTATCTCAGATTACCAATACAAATAACTACTATCTTTGCATTAGACTGGCAGTTGTCTTACTTTGTCGGGTTTTCTTGGGCAGATTTTTTCAACTGGAATAGAATAAAAGTTCGTTACTGTGATGGTGCCTCTTTTGCAGGGGACAGCGAAAATAAGGTTGGTGGAAATTTCTTGATGTTAACTATTTTTCATGTTTGATTGATATTGATGCTGTAACTGGCCTTCAAAATGGTGGACGAGATGAAATGAAAATTAGGACCTTACAACCCAGCATTCTGATCCTAAATACGTTTGGTTTTTAAAATTAAAATTTATTTATTTTCATCTTGTGGTTTTTAGTCGGAATGGTGCATAAAGTGTATGAGGTTTGTGGAATATAGTTTAAGAGGCTTGCCTAGATGACTAATAAAAAATCCAGGCAAGTGTCTATTCTAAGCATGCCGAGGCACTCAGTTATCTTATATCTTGGAAAAAGTCTAGGAAGCTCACTTTTAAGAGAAGAATCTGCAGAGTTTAACATTCTTCAATGATTATCCTTAGTACATCTTATCCTGCTGACATCTACAGACACTAATTTTTTTTTTTGGTAAGCATCTTTAGACACTATTCTAGTACTTTATTAAGACACAAATAGAATGGGAGACCCCCGGGGGGTGAGGAGGGGGAGTGGAGGGACCAGAACTATTGTTAAACTTGTTAGAAAAAGAAAAAAATGCATTCAACATCAAATGATCTACTCAAATGATGATTTCTATGAATTGGTTGAATGAATTTGACTTGGCATCTGATCGTAGTTTCGTATTCTGTTTTATGTAAACCAGCTGTTTTAAGATACACTCTTTATGTTTGTAGGCTGCACGACTGCAATTCAGAGGACAACGTATTTGGAGGGCTGCTATGGAAGATTTAATGTCAAAGGGGATGCGATATGCCAATCAGGTTTATATCTAAGACATCTTCCAAATTTATATTTTTCCACCATGAGTTTGTTTGATAATATAATTAAGTTGCATTTTTTAGGCTCTTCTTTCTGGTTGCTCTGCTGGGGGTTTAGCTTCTATTTTGCACTGTGACGAGTTCAGGGATTTATTTCCAAGAAGTACGAAAGTCAAGTGCCTGAGTGATGCTGGATTATTCCTTGATACGTAAGTACTTAACATCTAATGCTCTAATTTTATGGTGTGGAAGTTCTATCCACGTATTTTTCTTGGTTCAGTTGTTGGATCTTCATATTTTTATGATGGTCCTTTCTGGAATTATAGGGTTGATGTAGCTGGTAGGCGCAGCCTAAGAAATTTCTTTGGAGGTGTGGTTCATCTTCAGGTACTTAACAACTCCAAATTTCTGCTTCTATTATACTATTTTAGAGTCTATGATCGACTGCATACACGAAAATCCTAAACTTGAGCTCAGCAACTCTGGATGAGCCACAGTGGCACTAGGGGGTAATATGAAACATTGTTTCCACTTTGACAATTAATCTAATCAAAAATTCTGGTGGGATTTCATTCATAAAGCCACACATATGCTGCCCTTGCACAATGTAGAATTGAGATATGGAATTTGAAAAAAACCTCTTTGTTTCTTTATTTTTTATTTTTAATTATGGTTCATGGTATACTTTGCCTTTGCTTCTACAACAATAATTTCCAGCTTTCATATAGAACGTGATAGTTTCAACTACGTGCATCTTATATATATATTTAAAGTTTCTTAAGAAACTAGTATGAGTGTGTCTATCATTGTTTTCAAGTGCAGAACATTTGTTGTAGATATTGGTTCTTACTGATAAACTATGGAGATTTTAAGTCTACATTAGAACATTGAAGTCTCCTGGATGCAAATTTTATCAGTAATTGTATTTGGCAAATAAATTAAGGTAAGATGAAGTGAAGGGGTTAGGTACAATGCAAATCAAAGATAGCTGATAAAGAAGGAAAAATCTTGATATGCTTTGGATTCAAAATTCTAATATAAAATCATTTATGTGAAAATGTTACATCCCAAATTGTGGATTGCTGATAATTCTTTTTTAAGTGCAATTGTCATGTTTGCTGATGGAAATTTGTATAATTATCACAGGGGGTGCAAAAGCACCTGCCACGGACTTGTACTTACCATCTTGATCCAACTTCGGTGAGCCCTTTATCTTTTTTTTTGTTTTGCCTTTTCTCTGCAAATTCACAATCTCAAGAAACATGGGGAATCCCGTTACCTCTTATTTGCTCTCAAACTCACCTTTTTTTCTTTTTCTTTTGGATGTTTTTCCCTTGGCAGTGCTTCTTCCCTCAGAATTTAATTGCCAACATCAGAACACCACTATTTCTTCTCAACGCAGCTTATGATTCGTGGCAGGTTATATTTCAATTTTAAGATTGCTAATTTTATTTACCTACAGCGGCACTGAAATGCAACATCTGGCAATGATTTACATTCTGAGTACAAAAATCCTTAGTGACTAGCTTAGTGAATTAAACATCTTTTTCCCCATAATAAATTCAGGTCCAGGAGAGTTTAGCTCCCCCATCGGCCGATCCCCATGGCTATTGGCATGAATGCAAAATGAACCATGCACATTGTTCAGATTGGCAGATCCGATTTCTGCAAGGTGATTTCATATATCTGCAATAGCTTAAGAGTTGGTCTCATATCGGCTTTAAAAAGTACTACGAAAAGTTAACTAAATGCTGAAGAGTTGTTGATTATTTGGAGCAGGATTCAGGATTCACATGCTGAATTTGGTAAAACACTTCTCAATGTCCAGAAAGAATGGGTTGTTCATAAATTCATGTTTCGCTCATTGCCAGTCCGAAAGGCAGGATACATGGTTTGCGGATAATTCTCCTCTTATTGGTAACAAGGTACACTTTCTGTACAATTTGTATTTAGTTTTCACACAGCATACTATTTGATTTGAGTCGAATAATAGATTAAAAGGCTGTCATATCTTTTCTTACTGCCTCAGCCAATATTCTCAGTTTGCTTTTATTGTCCTTAGGCCTTCAACTATATAGAGTGGCTCCTCATGACTTGGGCAGTTATTGGTCTTCCTTGTACAGTATAAAACCATCATAACGGACTCGTGAACCTTTTCCTCAATTGTTACTACCTAGCTTCTGAAAGATGCAATTTGTTTCTTATTCTATCTTTCTCATATCACTACTCTTCTATCTAAACACCCTCAGTTGGATTATTCTCATTTTTTGACTCGCCAACAATCAACATTTTACTAGTAAAGCCACAGCTGCTTACCGTTGTCTCGGAATTCTTTTAACAATCACCACACAACAGTTACGAGAGGACTCCACACATCCCTCTCTAGTTTGCAGACAATGTCTTCTTCATATCTCTCCCACTGACTTTCACAATTGCACCAAAATTTTTATTCAATATTTAGGGTGTTTGAGCCTTGAGGTTTATGCCTAATGAGCCTAGAGCTTATAAAAAACCTCACTTTATATATATTCTTTTTCATTTTTTCCTTTTGATCTTTTAAAACGTTGCATGAAAAGAATAAAAATAATTTTTCCAAGTTGACCAAATCCAAGTAAATAAGACTAGAGATAGCATAAGAGAAGCAATGAAGTCCTCAGGGGGCAAAAGATACAATTGCACCTTTATATAACTGTGTGTATGTGTGTGTTGGTAATTATATATTTTATCTGGAAGGGGAAAAGTGGACAAAAAACAAAACTACAATAAAAGAAAACTGTAATCACAATGGCCTCATGTCTTGACCAAAAATTTCAAATTATTATCTCAAAATATCTCATTGTCAGATAACCATACTTTTCTGTGTAATTGTTATATAGGTGCTAATATTAACAATAGAGTTGTCTAATATCAAGTGTTTCATGCTTTGCAGGGAATCGCTCTAGCTGTTGGAGATTGGTATTTCGGTCGATCAGGCATTAGGTCCATTGACTGTGCGTACCCTTGTGACAAGACTTGCCATAATCTGATTTTCAAATAAGCCAACATTTTTTGTTTTAGTTTTTAAATTGGCTCAATTATTGTTGTCATCTTATTGAGTAATCTTCATTAAAGAAAATTGATATTAGAAAAATAAAACAATTATATAGCTGAGAAGTGTAAATGGTTCTCCATGTACTTCTTAATTTCCAGTTGAGAGAAATGCAAATGGTTATAACTTATAAGCAAGCAATTAGCATATCGTTCTGCCTTGCTCTTGCAGTTAGTTTCCATGATTTTGTTGCTCTTATCATCGTCTCTTATTTGTAGTACGGTAAGGTTACTCCATGCAGAAAATAACCTCTGCATGCAGAGGTAAGGTTGCGTAAATCTAACCCTTCCTAGACTCTGCAGAATGGTCACCACTCACCATAGTTTTGGGGGATTTTCTTAGCGTTGTTATGCTTTATAGTCTAGGTGTGACATTTCATTATTCAAAGAATAATGATGGGAAAGCCAAGCCTTTCACATACATTGGCCAAATTGGCTTTCTATGACATTCTAACTTGTCAACTTCTTAAAATTGACAAAGCTTTGAATCTTAACTCCATGAGGTTGCTGTGGAGCCTGTTGTTTGTTTGATAATGTTTGGATGTGTTTCAAATATGGTAATGTTTGGTGCAATCTTGTTTTGGTCATGTCTTGACCTAGTTTCCAGTTTACAAAAGAAAGCCAAAACATAATCCTCTTGTCACAGGTTCCTACTATTTATACTGTGTTCTGTGTTCACTGCTCTATGATTCATATCCAGTGTATACTTTACTTTTATCTAATAATTAGGTCACAAAAGTAATGTCAAAACTTGTGCATCATCCATTCAGTCTGAACTTTGGCTTTGTTTAGAATCTCAAAAGTGGTTTAGGACAGGTCCCACTTGAAAACCAACTGTGAGCTTGTGAAAAATGGCTTGTTTATAATTGCTTTTTGTGAAAAATAAAGTGATTTTATTACATTTTGTTAAACGCTATAGATGTTTGCTATTTCTGTACGATAGTTGTAAAGCGCTTGCCATTTAAGTTTTAAGCTGTTGGTGGTGTTGTATATCTATTCTTTTAAGTTCAAAGTTACTCCCATTAAAATTTGTTATTAAATAATGATTTAAGGATTGAATTCGGTACTTATAAATTTCAATTTATGCAAGTGTGGTGGTGAACGCACGGTATGATGTCATCATTACATCATCTGATGGAACCACCATCCCATCATATAAATTGAATTTGGTGATTACTGTATTGGGTCCTAAATCATTACTCATTGGAAATGTATTACTGAGTCTTGATGGGGCATAAATTGAGAAGTCCGCCTTTTGTTGTTGGTTCTAACACTTGTTTGGCCCAATCCATCAAAAATTTGGGCTAGCCTAGCCTGCTTCCCAATTTACACCCTGATAGGGAGGAGCAGTTTGGACTTTTTGGACCCAATCTGACCCTTTAGGCCCAACAAAGGACCAAGGTGGCCCAACAAGAATAAATCCAATTTCTCTTCAAGACATTTTTTCCCACTGTACAATTTCACCATATTTTATTTAATAATTTCGTCACTGTAGTAGTAAAAATTTACAGTGAGATTCAAAACCAAAACGTGGTTGTTTGACAAGTGAGTGACATGACATATTAAAAAAGTACTAAAATTCATGTCATGATAATAAAGGTTATAACCTAAAATGGAACCTATTGTATAGTGGTTATATTAAGTTTTTTTTTTTTTTTAAAAACAGAAGAGTGCTAGACATAGTTAAAAATAAATTATAATTAATGTCTCTTTTTTATTTTTTTTAAAATTATAAAACTTCAACTTTAAAACTAAATTAGCCTTTTAAATTATTTCCTCTTTCTTTATATTTAATAACCTTCCTTCTTTCCTTTGTTACATATATTTAACTTTATTTCTTTTTTTTTTTTAATTTTTATTTTTAACAAATGTCTTTTTATTTTTTAATTTTTTTTCTTGGATATATATGGCTATACCATTTTTTTTTTTTTTTTCACTTATCTTATATATATATATATAAAGTCCTGATTTCTTGCTCCACATGGAGCAAAAAAATAAATCCATGGAGAGCAAGAGATCAGGACTCATGTAGAACAATATTTAAATTGCATATTTATTTTAGTTGATTATAATAAAACTATATTTAAGAAGACAATATTTCACCAAATAATTTAAAATTCCGAGTCGGATGGCAATTGACAAGTGGCTATTCTGTTATGAGTCCTATCAAAGTATCCCGTAATTCAATGTCATGCCAAATTTTCACCCGAGTTGCGTTCGACTCTAATTTAAATTTTTGGGTCGAATAAAAAGCGGGCAAACTTCACTATTACTTCTTCCGTTTAAAAAAAAGTATCCATATTTCCTTTTTAGACTATCTCAAGATAATTGTCCACTTTTTTTTTTTAAAATAATATATTTCACATATTTCTATTTATATCCTTAGAATTTAAAATTTCAAACCTAGAACTTTCAAAATTTAAAAAGGGCAAGTTATTAACTTTATAGAGAGACAACGCATAAACCATATGTCCCCTTAAAAAATTATACTATCCAAAAGTGACATTTAAATTGAGACGGTGTGAGTATTTCCTAATTTCAATTATCTTTGATGGCTTAAATTGTTAGGTACAAGGGCAAGCTTCACCATTATATTCTAATTCCAGTCATATTTGAGGGCTCTTTGATTATTTTCTAATTCAAGTCATCTTTGATGGCTCTTTGTTCTTCATTATCATTAGACGTCCGGACAACAAATTCATTTCTTTATTTCATACTAATCATGCAGTTGATTTTGAATTATTTATACCCTCCTCGTGAGAAATCAAATCATTATATTAACAATTTAAAACCGAAACTAAAAAATTAGAACAAAAAGATCATGAGAAGATTTGATAGTAGTGCCATGATACAGGGAGAGAAGTAGACTATTTCACTCATTAGATAGAGAAAATTATGAAGATTTCGTAATCTCAGGGCCGGCTCTGGCCCAAGGCGACTAAGGCTGTCGCCTAGGGCCTCAGAATTTTGGGGGCCTCAAATTTTATAGGCCCATGTATGATGGGCTACAAAAGAAAAAAGAAAAAAAATTGTAACTAAATGTATCAAATCATTTAAGGGGACTCAAATTTTATTGGCCCATTAATGTTGGGCCACCAAAAAAAAAAAATTTATAACCAAAATGCAACAAATAAAGGACCTGAAGAATGATGGGCCACAAAAAAAAAAAAAATTTATAACCAAACCGTAGCAATTGAAATTCGCCTCCAAATTTAGGGCCATCAAAATGGAACAAGAATGATAGGCCAGCCTCCAAATGCAGCAAGAATGATGGGCCATCATCTACTACTAGGGCCTCACATTTAAAGTTTGCCTAGGGCCTTTCAAGAATTTTTCAATCTCAAGGCCGGCCCTACTTAATCTCTCCATTCATTAGATAGAGAAGATCACAGATTTCGTAATTCACTTCGGAACTCTCTTTCGGATCTTGAATATAATTTTGTATTATTTACTTTTCACACACACACACACACACACACATATATATATATATTTGTTTGATTAACATTTTAACTGTTATGAATATTTTAATAAAAGCAAATAAATATTATATATTCAGTTATAATATATTAATTACTATTAAATTATATTTAATCTAATCTTTTTAATTTTACTTAATATCGTATTAAATATGAATAACAGTTATAGTTATTATTCTATATATATATATATGTATATATATATATATATATATATACGAAGATTTCTTATTTTCTAGATGGTGAGGTTTTTTTTTTTGTATATATACGTAATGATATATGAATGAGTGAGACTCATATAGAAGTATTATATATTCTATTTTATATTTATTGAGTTTATGGGCAAAGAGACACGTATAGACTTGGACCTAGTCTTTCTGTAGTCGTGCACATGGAGGAGACGCCGCTACGAGCTGATTGTGTTGTATCTTAAAGCTGACTAGTTTCACCAATACCCGCCCGAAAGGGAGGATTATCAGCTTTAGGTCAATGTGTTTACACATGTCTCAACAATCAGGTCAGTACTTTCTTACCTATCTTATTATTATCGTTTTACTTTTTAATTTATATTTTTGGGCTAATATTAATATTATATTACTGAATTATTTATCTTGTTAATTTTATGTTCACTGTTATATCCATGTTTCAGTATTATTTACTTTTCACACACACACACACACATATATTTGTTTTATTAACATTTTAACTGTTATGGATATTTTAATAAAAGTAAATAAATATATAATAAATTATATATTCAATTATAATATATTAATTACTATTTAATTATATTTAATCTAATCTTTTTAATTTTACTTAATATCGTATTAAGTATGAATAGCCGTTATAGTTATTATTCTATATATATATATATATATATATATATATATATATAGAAAGACTTCTCATTTTCTAGATGGTGCGGTTTTTTTGTATATATGAGTGATGATATATGAATGAGTGAGACTCATATAGAAGTATTCTATATTCTATTTTATATTTATTGAGTTTATGCGTGACGAGAAATGTATAGACTTGGATCTAGTCTTTCTGTGGTCGTGCATATGGAGGAGACGTCGGTGCGAGCTGATTGGGTTGTATCTTGGAGCTGACTAGTTTCACCAATACCCGCATGAAGGAAGGACTATCAGCTTTAGGTCAATGCGTTTATACATACCTCAACAATCAAGCCAGTACTTTCTTACCTATTTTATTATTATCGTTTTACTTCTTAATTTATATTTTTGGGCTAATATTACTATTATATTACTGAATTATTTATCTTGTTAATTTCATGTTCATTGTTATATCCATGTTGTTCAATTGATGTATTATATAATTTAATGAAAGAATTGTTATTTGATTATTGGTGTTATTGTAATTTATATATTTCTATAATTATGTGGAATTTCCACACATTAACAACTTTCATTTTCATTTTTATTTTTCCTACAAACTAGAGGGTGATCGAGCACAGCCCACACGGGCACATTCGTTCAAAGGCATTTACCAACTAAATCACTAAATAATGTTATATTTAGCTACTTAATAGATTAACATAATTGGAATAAATATAAACAACTATATCAAGACTTTTTCTACCAAAGAAATGCTTGACTATACTATTCTATTTATTTATTTTTCACCAAAGTGAATGAGTTAATCCGATAAAATCTGTATGGTCTCTGCTATTCATCATATAGTCAAAACGTGTTTATAATAAACAGGAAAAAGATAAACTTACCGCAACAATTATTAAAGTGATCTGACAATTTCCCATCAAATTGGCACACAAATTGTACCATTCATTGAGCAAATCAAACCCTCAGTCCTAGAAAGTCCTGCCTCATGATAAAAAAAAAAAACTGCAGGTTCTGGGGTACTTCGTGTGCATATTAATCCCCAAGAAAGGCAAAGTTACGTATATGTTCACACACACAAATACAATACTAATTTTTTATTCCTTCTGTCTCAATTTAGATATCATATTTACAATGTGAATCAATGAGTCACAATTTTTGAAAATAACATTTAAAATGAGACGGAGGTAGTATTTATTATTTATTTATTTATTTATTTATTATTATTATTATTTTTTCTAATAATAGTTAGTAGTTAGTTGGGGTGGGAAAGAATCGAATCTAGGTTCAATAGGGTGAGAAACACTTTATGTGATATCGTGGCTCGAATTTGGGGTCGGGTCTCATTGCGACCAGCTTATGACCCGACGATTTGTTGGATGAGCTTCGTATTGGTCGTGGACCCTCATTATTCTCTTGTAGTCCGATATAGAAGGGTACATAGAGTTTGGAGTGGTGTAAGAGAGAGACTCTGAAATTTATACAAAAATCAAGTGAGAGTGAGAGTGAGAGGCTGAAAACTTGTAATATCTAATTTTACATATAATGAAAATTTTAGTCGGATCCCAACCGTGAACGTAAACTGTTATTGAATCACGTATAAATCTTTATAATTTTTGTGTGACGTGTTACTTTTCTGTCGTGATTCTTAATTCAATTTGAATTAGTTGCGTATGTGATAACACTTTTAAGTCTAATATTTTTACCATTCGAGAAACATGGCACACCTATTTTTATTTTAAGACCAATCATAACGCTTGCAAGTTTAAAGACTAGTAATAATTTGGGGAGGTTTGATGTGTGCTGTGTTGTTCTTCTCTTTAAATGTATAAATGACTTGTTACCATTTGACCTTTTGCCTCTCCAGCTTGTGTTTTTTTTGTATCTTATGATATATGTATATATATATTTGTTTTTTCATTTAATAAAAAAGAAAAAGAAAAAAAAAAGATATAGAGAATCTCAAGATATCAGACAAATGCAATATTTTCTTAAATCACTGGCCACCACCACCATCAATACAGCCATCACTATTGTCATCATCATCACATTATCATCTTCATTTTCTTCACTATACAAGTGTTCATCTATATAAAAAAATTATTAATTAATCACAAGGTTCCATCTATTTTATTTTATTTTGATAAACAAAAACAATATATAAGATGATTGTATTTTCAGAGAGAAAATTATTGAAGTTGAAACCAAACTTGTATCCAATTTGCTGCCATCTCATCATCCTTGCTCAGTTTGCCATTAAATTTACATTGTTTTTGTTTTCATCTGCATAGAAATTTAATTGTAGGGCCTAACAAAAGAGACTCAATAATTTGGTTCACATGCATTCATAATATATAAATATATATATTTGTATGTATGTGTCTGTATATACATACATATATTACATACGTGTTATTGCAAGGAAGTAAAAGACTTAAAACATATTCTATTTATGGAGATAATACATTTGTGTCCGTGTGCATGTGAGTGGGACAAGGAGGTGCCTGTTGCCATTGTACCCCACCATACATGGCTGAGGTGGTCTTACCCTATTTACATTTGAACAAATTTTCTCAATACTTCTTCATATCCCAGTTTTCTATGATTGAAATGTTATTTTGACATTTAATATTGTGATTCATAAATGTAAACATCATATATGTCCTTTTGTCACACATAATGTTGTATGATAACTGTAGAAATGTACAAATTAGCAGAGTGAAAAGCCACAAGAGATTCCCGCAGTGTACCTCAAAAATGTCATAGTACATTAAGCCCTTTGTTATGACAATGACGACGACCACGACGATAACGAGAGACGATCACGACGATAACGAGAGACCTGATGGGAATATTATTGGGGGTATTTTGATATATTTCGTATTTTTTTAATATTATTTTAGTACACGTTAAAATATATTTATTCATTCTGAGCTCTCTGTATTTGCTTTTTTCTCATGTAATGAAATCCTGCAACTTGTAGACCTTTCTTTGGGTGAATCACGGGAAATCTGTGTTCATGTGTGTGTTTGATCTGTTTTTTTGTTTAATTTCGCAAATAGGGCATATCCCCAAAATGCTTTTCATGGATTTAAATGGAAAGAAGAAAGCATAGATAGAATGAAATTTGTGTGTGCGCACGCTCTCTCCCTGCAGCCTACCTCAAAATTGTTATAGTATATTAAGCCTCTATATATGATGATGATGATGATGATGATAATGGGGACATGGGCATGTTGGAGAGATGCTTTTCATGGATTTAAATGGGAAGAAGAAAGCATAGAAAGAAAATTTGATATGCTCCTCCATAATAAACTGGCCAAATGCGTGTGTGAGATCCAAATTTCAGTATGCTTCTTCATAGTACATTAAGGCCTCTATGATTGATGATGATGATGATGATGATGATGATGATGATGATGATGGGGACATGGGTATGTCCCCGTTATGCTTTTCATGGATTTAAATGGGAAGAAGAAAGCATAGAAAGAACGAAAATTCGGTATGCTTCTACAAAATAAACAATGCAAATCAATGAGTCCCTCCCCTCTTTCCTTTTTCCTTCCTAGGCAAAACTCTTATGTTACATGAAAGAAATGAAATTTTCCATTCCTCTCTCCCTCTTGAAGCATCAGCATCAAAGATAAATCCATCAGAAGGGACCCCTCTTCCTCTGTTTGCTCCTATATGTAGCAAAAGTAGAGCCCCATAGGGGATGTGTCACACAATGTCCACAAATGATAAATGGCATCAATTGTTTGGCTTGCTGATTCAGAAAGCAATCAAGTATTCCTCTATGCCTAGAGCTTAATTGGAATTTCTTGCTTCACCATTCCTTCTCAAGATAATGTAGTACTTCAAGAAAACTATAGGACATACAATTTAATGGCACTCATCAAATTTGATACTTTGAAAGTTATTGTCCTTTCATATTTGCTAAAGGGTAAATGTTTTTTTCGGGAAAAGTTATTATGCGAGTGCTCTTACTGTGAGTCTGTGAGTACGCGTTCATGATGATCAGTGGTGGAGCCACGTGGGGACCAGTGAAAGCAACCATCTCCGGTGAACTTTTCATTTAATTATATTTTCTATACAAAATTTTTAATAGTTATAGTTGTGTCCCCATTGAACTCCGTAAAAATTCACAAAAATCCTTGGGAAAAAATTCCAAAATTCCCAAATACCTCTTCTTTTTTTTAGTCCTACAAGTTTCTCAAAATTTAAAATCGACCTATGTCTATTCTGCTGAATCACCTCCATCAGTACAACAAAATTTTGACGAACCAAAATTCAAAAAAGGCCTCGTGCTTTCCTATTTACTATTTTGCCCTTCTGAAATAAATTTCTGGCTCCACCACTGACAATGATGGCGATGATAGACTTAGTCTTTTCTCTCTGTTGTGGGGTTTTGCCCCCTTTTTTTTTTTTTTTTTTTTTTAAAAGTGGAAAGTAGCATCCTTGCTTGCAAAACAACCCATCAAGTAAATTCTTCCAAGGCATTTCAAAATGACACAAATCAAATGCAGACAACTATAATCTATTGTGTTCATAAGTGTTAAAGCTTGAGAGGGGAAGTGACTTAAAGGGACTGTCAAAAGTAAAAACCATCTCCATCTGTAGGCGACAGTGATAGACATCCATTTAAGAAAAATGATTCCTTGAATCTTGAATTAGAAAAGCACTTCTGGGCTTTTCATGTATTTCACATTTTGGAAAAGGGATATAGAAAAAGATAGGTGGTATAAAAGTAATGAAAGAATTTCAGACAACCAATACAGATTTGGATAGATTACAGATAGTCACCATCTTCATAGAATTCCATTTTATTTATTCATTTTTATTATTTTTTTGGTCAAAAATGGTGAGCAGTGTTGGTTTATGAATTCTAATGGTAGAAATCCAAAAGTAGCAAATAACTTTTTCTTTTCTTGCACAAATAAAATTACAAACAGTGAATCCAAAAGAAATGAAGCATAGAGAGGATATGAAATGACACAGAAACAATACTTATTTCTGTATTTCTACCATATAATCCATAGACAAAAGATGAACATAATAAGCTTGTTTCTATCACAAATATTTGGTATCAAGAAGCTGAGAAACTTTGGTATCAGACCTATTTACACAATATCAAGAAATTAAATTCTATAGCACACACACCTGTAAGTAGCACAGGAGATGCATGTACCAGGCCTCTTTTTCAAGACTTCTGTGACTTTTTTTTCCCTTCTGAATTATAGGCTCCAAACGTTGAATACAAGCTAAGAAAATTGTCCAAAGGTGGCAGTAAGTCTCTGGAAATTCTTATTAAATACGTCGCCGCCTTGTAAACCTTGCTGCTGCTGCTGCTTCTGATGCCAAACACCACTTGAACCATCTGTGGTGAAGTGCGTTTCTGGTTTGGCTTCGCCGTACAAGTCTTGACCAGCTTGGTTTTGAATGGTGGTTCCTAGTAGAAATGGGGTTTGGAGATATTCAGACCATCTGATGTCTTCTGGATCACCTTCCGGTGGGTGAATTTGGGCTTCTTTCTCGGATTTTACACAATCTCCCTGACCCCATGAGAAGGCATTGTTCTCAAAGAAGGAGCTGCTGCTTGGCAATTCAATAGTACTATTACTTCCATTGCTGCTGCTGCCATTGCCATTGTTACTAAATGTACCGGCATCCCAATTGTGGACTCCGTTGACATTGAAAGCTCCTATGGAAGGACTAGTACCGGGGAGAGTAATGGGAGGCTTGATAGTACTACGCGTTGGAGTGGTGAAAATTGAGCCAGACATGGATGACAGCATAGTGGGAGTCAGGGTAGAATTGTACCCACAAATCATCTCAGAAGAAGTGAGGTTTGGATTGACAAAATGACTCAAATTTGGGGTCACTGAGAGGCCTATATTAGGCTGATGATCATAATTTGAGTTCTGAAAGGAGAAATACCCAGCGAAGTCTGAAGCTTTGCAGCTAGTGGTGGTGCTCTCATGGGAGGCGACAAACCTGTCTAGGAAGAACTCATGTGTTGGTGGTGGTGTTGTCATAAGCGAGTGGCGGTCCACAGTACTCAAGGAAGGTGGCTTCGGACTGTGTCCTGCTATTCCCTTGTCCGAATTCTCAGCCTGGACTAGGTTCATTTCGTCGTTGCCTGAAGAGGCCTTCTCATTGCTCTTGCTGGTTGTGGACACTTTCTCTTCACTCTCAACCTCAGATAGTGGTTTGTGTGTGTTGGGGTCAATCCCTCTTTGCCTTAGCTTCTTCTTAATTGAAGAATTCCACAAATTCTTTATTTCGTTATCGGTTCTCCCAGGCAATTGAGCTGCAATCTGTGACCATCTGATCAAGCAAAATTCATATGAAACCAGTTTTGTCAAGCTAAATTCACCACACACACACACACACAGTATATAGTACTAGTAGTAGTAATTACCTGTTGCCTAGAACTGCATGGAGTTCAATGATCAAGTTCTCTTCTTGTTGTGAAAAAGTTCCTCTCTTCAAATCAGGCCTCAAGTAGTTAATCCACCTTAGCCTGCAACTTTTGCCACACCTTTGAAGACCTGCCATTTTATCATGTAATGTGGGACAATTCATCAGAGAGGTTTGAGTTTTTTTGAGTACCTTTTCTTTATGCATATTTCTAAATAGTACTCACAAAGACTGACCAAGAAAAAAAAAAAAAAAAGAAGAAAAAAGATAAGTGTACCTGCAAGTTTGGGGACAGAACTCCAACAACCATGCCCATACTTGGTTATATGCTTTATAAGCTTCTCATCTTCCTCTGGAGACCAAAGGCCTTTCCTTAGCTTCTGCTTGTAACAGCAAGAGTGCCTCCCCATGTGGCTGCTTCCAATATTCTTCTCCCTACTGTGCTGTCAAAAGCTACACCAAGATGGCAAAGGCTCTTATTGAATACTATGTGAATTGTCAGCAAAAGGGTAGGAGGATTTTGGGAGAGAGAAAGAGAGAGAGAGAGAGAGGGAGAGAGGAGAGAGAGTAGAGAGAGAGAGAGGTGATAAGGAGGTTTAGAAAATGAAATGGCAGCCTGGTGGGGAATCAAATTAATAGCAGGAGTCTCAAAGAGTAAGGGTCACATTCAAGAGGTGATTGGAGAGATTGTGGTTTTTAAATTTATAAAAAAAAAAAAAGGAAAGAATTTTGGTACTGTATTATTTTTCATTGAAATGTGAGGATGGAGCTCCAATAATAATCTGACTTGCATATGTCTCTTCAGAGTTTTGAGAATTAATGAGTTTGACAGCACTGGTGGGGCATTTTGACAGATATTTAGTTGCTGAAAAAAAAAAACAAAAACAATGAATTGAGAAGAATCCATGCCATATAAGTCCTAACTCAGTAAAAAAATAAAAATAGGTTATAGAGATAAAAAAGAAAAACAAAAACTAAAACAAGTCCCCACATATTAAACAAGCATAACATAAAGAATTATATATATATATATATATATATATATATATATATATATATATACTTGCTTTAGGGTTTAAGCAAACTCTCCATTTCAACCAAGTTCAAGTTGTTTAACCCAAGATTCCCATTGACAAAATCAGCCTCAAGATTTGGAAAAGGTAAGATGTTCTTGTAGAAAAGAAATACCCATGATTAGTTAACCCCTTGCACATATAGTAAACTGCCATAAATTAATGCTAACAGTATCCTTATACAGTTAGACATTCCATGTCCTTTATGATGACAGTATATAATATACTAAACACATTGACTCCATTTATTTTGAGCATTGCTATTACGAGGTGGAACTCGTGACACTTGTTGTGAGCTCTCCCTTATATGAACACATTTAGGGCTGAAAAAAAAAATGTACAGAATTAAACCGTCATATAATAAAATTATTAGAGAGAGTAAAAAATGTTCGTTTAGTTTGGTCTCATTCGTGTGATTTGTTATAAATGAATTTTGATATAAAATTTTGACCGAATAATTGTGATACAATACTTTTTCAAGCAGTTCGAACTGCACATCAATATTTTTACATGATTACCACAAAAAGACAGTGATCTGAAAACAACTTTAATGAGATTGTCCTTGTGATATTTGTCATGAGCTCTCCTTTAGATGAGCACATTTAGGGCTAAAAAAAATTAATGTACAAATTAAAGCGTCATGTAATAAAATTATAAGAGAGGGTCAATAGTTTAGTTTGGTCAAATGAAGTGAAAAGAAAAATAATGTAAATTGTTTGATTGATTCGTGTGATCTGCTATAAATAAATTTTCGCATAAAATTTTGACTGTATAATTCTCACACAATTCTTTTTCAAACAGCTCCAACCGCACAAAACCGCACAAAACCGCACACCAATATTTGTACATGATCATCACAAAAAAGACATGAGCCCAAAACAACTGGAATGAAATCGTCTTTATAGTAGCATTACTCATTTTTATTTGTATTGAAAATTTTGTGCCACATGGCTTTGAAATAACACTGGCATATTCCCTCCATTAGGGCATTTTAGTAATTTTACCAACTCATGATCACTTTGAAAAGTTTTATAATTGGATAGAAAGACAAACCTAAATATTTATTAGTCTTTGAAAAATGAGGGTATCTTCTTTCCCACTAAAAAAAACATCTATGCTCTACCAACTCCATATCATTAGTAATCATCCATATAAGAAAGAATCAAAGGAGATAAATAGTTGAGAAAAAAAAAATTTAATTTAAAAAAATAGTTGTCACGACTTTTCTTTTGTTAGACGAAACTTTCTTTATGTCTACATTCATAGTTCAATGCTAATATGAGAATAATGAAAGTAGTAAACTTGTGTAGTTGTATAAACACAGAAGACAATCACAATAATAGAGCTGCCTTCTCTTGAATTGGCTATTTGTTTACTGAAACATGAATAAGGACAAGTTTGGATAAATAATCACAACTTGCATGTACACTCAAAAAGATACAATATTAATTCTACAATGCCATACTATTTAGTTGTGTACTCATTGGACAGTATAAAACTGTTAAAACGTAAACTTTTTCATTTTTCTTTTTCCATTCCCGATTTGTTTAGCACACAGATATTACATGTTTGATTTTTATTAAGGATAATATTGTAGGTGTTTATACGTTTATTTAAATTTTCAATATATATATATATATATATATATATATATATTTTGCGTTCACTATTTGCTTAGATCAATGAAAAATATGATAATACATACAAACATAGATGTAGGAGATGATTAATAATGAATGCCCAATATCATCATTTTTTATGATGAACACAAGTTTAGAGCATTTGCATTATAATCTGTGTCTTGTAACTTCTTGTAAACTAGTTTCATCTATAGCATTTTGTAAAGCAAAACTTTTTGATGATATGCTCTGAGGTAAAATTTGTCTATGACTATCCGACATGATGGTTAATGATCAATTTTGCAAACTCTTTTCCCATATTATTTTCTCTGAAGCCAAACATGGCTACTGTATGAATGGCCATTAATCCAATTTGCACTCTATTCTTTTCCCCTACTGTCACCACTAACCATAATAAATCATAAAACAAAACAAATAACAATGAAAACAAAAAATCACACTTCACACCGAATACAAAAAATCACACATCACTCCAAACACAAAGATTTAAGTAGTTTGACTTGTAACTTTGTAAAGACGGTGGACAATTTTTATTATGTACAAAATCCTCTCATCCTTGTATGTTGGGTTATAATAGAATTAGATATTGGGTCTCAGTCACAATGCAATTGAACTGAAAAAGGAACGAAAAAATTTGTAACCGAGTCACAATGCGACTGAACTGAAAGAAAATTCGGGCCACAAATTTCAATATCTACAAAACTTTATCAATCTTATATACAAGGTTATAATAGGGACTAAATATCGAATCCCAAAGCCTGTAAGGAACAAAAATGTGGTAAAAAAAATTAATAATTAAGTCACGATGCGATTGAATCAAAAGAGAATTCGGGCTACAAACTCGACACCTCATCGTATTAGATTTGAGAAACTAAATAATACTTTATGGTTATTTACAAATTATGATTGTTTTTTAAATATTAATCTCATTTTTTTTCGATTTCATAGAGAAGGTATTCCACACATTATGAGTGAAACTAATTCATTTCAAGACATACAGTTTTCCACAAATTACATGTACCGAATAAGTCTAGAACTCAGTCTAACTACAACTTATTTCCACAAATTACATGTACCGAATAAGTCTAGAACTCAGTCTAACTACAACTTAACCCGCATCCCATGATCGACTGGGGACATTGAAGAAAGCAATAGTGACTAAGAGAGCAACACCATGCATAAGGCTGTTCACCAAAGCAGAGGACTTGCAGATGAGCCTTTTACAATTTAGTCCCTACCATGGTGTCAAATCTGCAAGCATAGTTGACACCATTACCAAAAGTTTACAAACAATGGTCCAACTCACCTTTAAACCCCCCCTTTTTAGACAATTTATCGAAGTTATTAAACAAATCTAATATCATCAAGAAACACTGTTGATGATTAGGAGTTGTATTAATTTATATGCTATGTAATCATAGACAAGTCTCAATATTGATGACTATTACCATATGATCAGTGAATAAAAAAATTAAATTATAGAAGTTCAAGAACACAAAGTAATACTAATTTTAAATCACAAACTTTATTCTGTCGGGGTGGTTAGATATAATTTTTAATTAAGATGCCTTTTTTTTTTTTTTTTTTTTTGTAACACTGGATGACAAAATATTCCACCAAAATTGCGCGTTGGCATACGAAAATCTATACTAATAAAGGTTTTTTATTTTTATTTTTATTTTTAATTTTTTTTTTTGCTAAAAAAAAAAAATCTTAATTTGCTTTAAGCAATGTCCAAAACTTTGATGTTCATATAGAATTATTACCTCCACAATAATAATAATAATAAAATTAATAATGTGTATTAGCTTGTCTCCTTCTTGTGACATTATGAAGGTTCTTTGACCTTAGCAATGTCCTAATTGGAACATCCCATCGTATAAAGAATATTAAATCAGGCCCCATAAGGAGATACATGTAATCTCCATGCCTCATCATGCACTCGTGAGCTTATCTTATGTAGGTGTATGAGCTGTTCTTGTGCGAAGTCAACTATTGCTACATTTCTATGCTTCTTCACATTTAATTTGTTCTTTAATTTATTGCTTAATTAACATGTTAATTATGTGCCGGCTTCGCTGTTAGTGCTAATTTTTTTCTAATTAATTAAGTTTTATGTTTGGAAATTAATTTCACAAACTTATAAGAACATTCCACTGCATAATCCAAATATGTTCAAAAGCTCGGTGACAGGAGGGGGGTTGCATTGTAATGAAATAGACATTATTATCGATGTTACTTATATTCATATTTCATGAAAATAATTTTATTTTATTTTTATATTTTTGCGAGTTTTTTTAAATTGTAGAAGTCAGAGCAGATTAATTTCCAGTTCCTATTTGATTATTGTAACACACACTTGACATGTTTATTATTCCCTATAGGCAAAGTCCTAGCCAAGGCTCACAATGACATTCAAATTCTAGGCTTCCTCACTCGTAACTTCAAGAATCATTGAAGGGGTGGTTAGTGTGTGTGTGTGTTTTTTTTTTTTTTTTTGAATTTAATGTTATTTGGTTACATTGACACCGACGAGAAGTACAAAAGTACAACTAGGGTTCATAAACACAAATCTTGTGACAACCAAATGATATTGGGGATTGGATGGATACAAATCCAAATTCAATTTTAGGTCTTGGTACATATTTGATGTCATTGAAGTTGCTGAGCTGGGATTCTTTTGTGGTGGACGAATATGACTCCAGAACCCTAATGACACCACCTAGTGACAATAGAGGCTGTGGTCCCAAAATTTATCAGCAACAGAAAAAATAGAAACATATTAGATGGTAGTAGATAGGGATTGCCATAAGAAAAGGTTTGTGGGGCTGACCTAATAAGAATCTGTGGGGTTGTCTATCCTCTAATTCACTCATTAGTCAGCTCCAAAGACCATTCCATCAAAGGAAGAGAAACTATTTACCAGAGAAATGGCATTGCCGATCAAGTGCCTTGAACTAGTCGTTCAAATTTGTTATGAGTCGCGATACAACGTTTGAAGAGTCGAACGTATCTAACCACATTTACGTGAGTAGAGGATGACGTTAGTAAAGTAGTTGCATGCGTCCAACTTTCGATTGCTATATCATTTTCCATTCATTATTGTGAAAAAAGTTGGTCCAAAAAAAGAGGAAAAAAAACCCCACAAAGAATTGGTAATAAATTTAGAGAAAGTGAATAAAATTGTCGGTGTATGTATGGAGATAGATAAGAGTTCTATATTCTGCAGCCACAACTCTTAGAAAGAAAATGTATGGACATGAGCATGTCATGTCTTCTTCAAGATGTGGCCAAAAAAATGTATAGATACACTTGTTATG